TCCTATAAATAGGAGGCCAGTGACACATTACAACGGACAGAAAATTACACAAAAAATCACACGAAAATCATAGAACGAAAATTATACACACTTCTTCAAAAAATCTGCAGGAGAACAAAACATTGGAGAGACGCTGCCCAGAATTTTCCAAGCCAAAGCAGTCCCTCAGATCGAAGGTGCCTACGCCCAGAAGCCCTCAAATCAAAAGTTCCTACATCCAGGAAGTGCCCAAATCAGAAGTGCCTGCGCCCAGAAGTGCCCATATCGAAAGTGCATGCGCCCAGAAATCCCAGATTGAAAGTGCTCCCATCCAGCCAGTGCCCAAATCGAAGACTCAATCTGCAGGTAAGAAAGGGTAAATTGTCCAACCTTACATTTGCGTAAACGCATTATTACTTGTTGTTACCTTTGACTTACCATCTTAGACAAGATCGAAAGGCCTGGGTTTGGCACCCAGGTCACATTTTTCGTGTGCTAACATTTGCTGAAGATTTAGCCTGAAGAGACCCCAACAAGTGCAGGATCGAAGGGCCTGGGATTCAATACCCAGGCCCTGCATTTTTGTTTCGCTCACATACTTTTGTAGGTATAACATCCCAGATCGAAGGAGAGCCCTTCTCTGGATCGAACCCATTAGCGTGCTGGATCGAAAGAGGCATCTCATCCCTGGATCGAAAGCCATGACCTCCATGATCGAAGGGCAATCCTCTTCCCTGGATCGAAGGCTACTCACGCCTTACTGTCTGGCCCAATCGAAAGGACCAGGACCCTCTCTGGACCGAAGCAGTCCATTCCCTCCCTGGGTCGAAACTCCTTTTTTTCCCTGGATCGAAGGATCCCTCCTGCACTTTATTTTTTTTTGTTTTTATTCTCATAGACTTCTTTTATCTTTTAATTAACATTAAAATAAAAAAAAATCACAAAAAAACATTAGGTTAGTTTTTATTCAAATTAATTTTGTAAATAAATTAATTAATTATTTTAACTTCATTTTATCAATTTAAAATAAACTAGACTTAGGAGTATTTAATTCAAATATCTTCTTAATCAAAAACAACAAAAAAAGTTCTTATTCTTAGGATTTTTTTTAGATTCACGCGCGTTTATTTTACTGGGATGTAATAGCTTAAACTAAGACCTTCTTTTACTTTACTGTTTTTATTTCCTCCAATATTTTTGGACATGTAAATAATCCCCCTCCCCGAAAGCCTTGTAATAGCGTAGGATTTACAATTCCCGCACTTTAAATTCCTGTACATATATTAACTGCTTAGATGTATGCTAAATAGGATTGTATGACAAGATTAACTCTTAACTTAAAATCAACAGTAGTCCACCATGACATGCAAGAATAATATAACTGAAAATTGACACACTTGCACACGCCACTCCTAGGGTATACCTCATTTGGTTGCCTCGAACGTGGTCATTAAGTATAAGATGTTTTAGAGGTCGTCCTTTGTCCCAAGATCATAAGTTGCCTCGAAATGGTCGCCTCGATAAAAATGATCTAAGACATTAGGATTACCACTAAAGCGTCCTAACGTTGCTTTAGTGACCACACATCCCTAAAATCGAATTGACCCGAAAACTCCAACGACGGTGCTACCTATTCCTCAATAGCAGGATAGTACTGTCTAAAGGACATTTGCACAATTAAATTCCCTTTTGAGTAGGTAGAGGTTTTTAAGTACTTGCTCTCTTTTTTCAAAAACAAAAACAACTTTTCGCACCTACACTTTCAAAAAGTTTTCAAACAAACACTTCATACACTCTTGAGGACTGATACAAGAGTTTTCTAGAAGTTTTTCAAACTAAACTTTTTTCAAAACCCACAAACACAAAAGAAAAGCAAACATTTTTGAAAACATAATGAGCAAGTACCTAAGAGCCCGTGGATAACCACAGATAGAAAGGGTGCTAACACCTTCCCTCTCTATAAATCTACCTCCCGAACCGAGAAACATTCTCGAAAAAGAATTTTGCTGTGCTTTTGTCTTTTCCTTGTTGGAGAACATAAAAGACGGTGGCGACTTTTGCTTACCGCGACATTTCGCAAACCAGCACTAAAAAATAGTCAGTTCTATTTCCACCGATCACAGATACCAATCCTCAAATGAAAATAAAATCAAAGAACTCATTTTGTTACATAATTTAAGAATCAGAACATAGAAAATTGATTTCAACACATAATTTATTCGATTAAACAAAAACCGGGCAACAACTATAACAAGTTATGAATGCTCGATGAAAATAAAATAGAAGATGATTTTGTTGTTCATTGTGGTACTTTCGAATCAAAATATTAGTAGCTTAAAAATATCTAATTAATAAAAAAATAAACACTACACAACTATTTCAAAAGAACATAAAGAAAAACACTTTCGAGAACACAAAAAGAATATTAATATAAACTTTTAGAAATATTTCGTAAGATTTAATCGGATTAGTTCTAGATCGATATAGACTAAAATTAATTATTTATATATAAAATTAATTGTGTTTTTTAATTGATATAGATAGAATGTTTTATAATTTAAGAAGCAGATAATAAATAAATAAACGAGTCGGTAATGTTGAATTTGAACTTGACTTACCAATGAAAGAAGAGGGGTTATTGGTGCTGACGGCGGATGATGCTGCTCTGATGTTCTTCGAATCGGTGATGGTCTTCGACTAACTACATAAATACAAAAAAGTCTTAACCAACTTTTTAATAAGCACACTAACATTGAAAATGCATAGAGTTGAGAATAAAATCACGATACCAATCCTCAAATGAAAATAAAATCAAAGAACTCATTTTGTTACATAATTTAAGAATCGGAACATAGAAAATTGATTTCAACACATGATTTATTCGATTAAACAAAAACCGGGCAGCAACTATAACAAGTTATGAATGCTCGATGAAAATAAAATAGAAGATGATTTTGTTGTTCATTGTGGTACTTTCGAATCAAAATATTAGTAGCTTAAAAATATCTAATTAATAAAAAAATTCATTTAAATTTACATTTAAAGACATTTTTTTTCTTTCCAAAAGCTTTATAATTAGAGATTACGTGTGTGTATATAAGTTAAGATGGAGTAAATATAATCGAAAACATAAAAAACATATAAATTTTGTTGTTGTATGAAAAATGAGTTAAAAGATAATGTACAGTATAAATTAATTTTATCATATCAACTAATTACAAATATTTATCCTATTAAATAAGAATGAAAAATTTTAAGCAATAACACTCTCTTCTCCCTTCTTCTTACTTTCATTTTAGGGTTTTGGTTATTCTACTTCTTCACATTCTTAATAAAATTGCTTGTGCAAGTAATAATGAAACAATGAAAATCTCGACAAAATGCGTGCAAATTTGCGTTTACCATTTACAAGTTAGTTGTTTACTTTTCCTTGCATGACATACAGGAACATAGCAGCAGTAGAGCAAGGGAAACTTACCTTGAGATACGGTGGAGGACGACAACTGAGGGCGGTCGGAGGAACGACGAAAGGAGGGTGGTTGGAGGAACGACAAAGAGAAACGAGTTCTAGAAGACTGTGAATAGAAAGGAGTTCTTGAGGTCTGTGAATAGGAACAAGTTCAAGAGGGATTCTATTTTTTTAATTCTAATTATATGACTTTAGACAGCGCTTTTGAGAAGCGCTGGCTAATATGGGCCTTTAGCAGCGCTTTTAAGATTTTTTTTTAAAATTTATATGACTTTAGACAGCGCTTATGAAAAGCACTGGCTAATGTGGTCCTTTACCAGCGTTTTTTTAAGCGCTTTCTAAAACAACCCTTTTAGCAGCGCTTTTTAGAAGCGATGTCTAAGGTCCCCCCTTTTAGCAGCAGTTTTAAGATTTTTTTTTAATTTATAAGACTTTAGACAACGCTTATGAAAAATGCTGGCTAATGTGGTCCTTTACCAGCACTTTTTTAATGTCTTTCTAAAGCAACCCTTTTAGCAGCGCTGTCTAAGATCCCCTCTTTTTGCAGCGCTTTTAAGATTTTTTTTTATAAAATTTATATGACTTTAGACAGCACTTCTGAGAAGCGCTGGCTAATGTGGTCCTTTACCAGCGCTTTTATTAAGCGCTTTCTAAAACAACCCTTTTAGCAGCGCTTTTCAGAAGCGTTGTCTAAGGCCGACCTTTTAGCAGCACTTTTACTCATTTTCGTATACAGTTTCTATGTTTTATTTTTTAATTTACTTATACCAGCGCTTTTGTATAAAAGCGCTGTCTAAGGTGCGCTGTCTAAAGGCCTTTTGGCGTAGTGAGAGACGCATATTTATGAGAGTGAGGAAGGAAAAACTAATAGAATAGTTTTTGGTGTAATTTGGAATGAAACATGTGCACTCCTTATATATTGAAGTAAGTTAGTTAATATTTCTCACATGAGCAATGTAGTACTAAATGGTTTTTTCAACCAAAAAGATATTATAACAATGTGAGACTTGAGAAATTTTTAAATTCAACATATTGGAACATGGATATATTCCAACAGATATCATTTGGGTCCACCCAGATTCAATCAAATTGTTGGATATTTTCGATATTGTGTTGGTATGAACAACATGTATATAGACAACTTCTGTTTTAAATAGTTCACATGACGTCAATCGAGTTGACATTTTCCATTGCATTTGCTTACAAGTAATCTTATTAAATTGAAATTTTTTGTTGGGTGTTTGATAAACTGAAACAATTGTTTTTTTAAGAAATAATTGTGTCTACAAGTGATATTGATTAATAGAAATTTTGCTTTGATGAAGATAATTAAAGTTGTGTTTTTAAGGATAATTAATTTTAAAAAACTAATAAAATAATACTATATATCTTTTAAAAAAATACCAAGCATATAAAATGTAAATTAAGTCAGCATATAATATAAGATTTTGAACCTTAAATTAATAAAAGAGGAGTGAATCTCACACTTGTATCACACAATATTAATAAAAAGGTATTCCCAACTATAAGCTTAATATTTCCATCCTGCTAACTAAGGGCTTTTGTCAGGTAAGGCTCCCATCCAAGAAGGAGGCAACATTCCTGTTTGTTCATGAACAGTCTTAAACAGAGGTGGCAACATCTTGTACACACCAGCAAGCTCTTTCATACCCATTGCACCTTCTGTTATTCCCCCACCATTGTCACCACCATTGCTCCATATACTAATCTTAGGCTCAAGTCCACGAATTGCCTCCGCATTAATCTTTGCAATCTCTTGAAATATGCCACCATTTATCATCAAATAGTCCCTTAGTGCTGTGTAGTTTCCTCCAAGTGCAGTAAGAAGTGTACTTATATACACCCCTTGAGACTGTCCAAGTGCCACAATCCCCTCAGCCTCTTTTTTCTTTGCATATAGATCTGCTTCAGCTGCTTGCTTTTTAGCATAAAATGTTGCGTCTGCCAATGCAATCTCTGCTTCTGCCTCTGCCTTCTTCTCATACAGAATTGCTTCTGCCTCTTTTTGTTTCTTGTACAGCTCCCAGTTTGCTTCTTGTACCTACACAGCCCACCACAATTTCAATCACCAAATAATATAATTTTATAATAACAAACTAAATCAGCAACGGTTAAACATATTATAGGGTCATAAAAGGCTACACCATGTAGGGCCATTGAATAGTAATAAATGAATCATGAGTTATAATAACTTTACATATATACATATATTTGCATGGAGTAAACTAACCTTGGTTTCATATTGAACACTAGCTTTACTAAGAAACTCAGCTTTAAGCTTCTCAGTTGTTGTCAAAGCATTCATCCTCTCCACCTCCCCTTGCAACTCAGCGTCCCTAAGAGCCACAGCTTTAGCAGCTTCAACTTCAGCCACTTGAGCCGCCTTAGTCCAAGCCGCTTTCTTCTTAGCCAACTCTGAATTTGCCTGAGCCACTTCAGCTTCTCTCTCATTCTCAAAAACCTTCACCTCACTTCTCACTTTTATTCCTTCCTTTTCACCCTCTGCACTTCTTTGCACCGCAATAACCTTCGTCTCTGCATCAATTTTTGCCGCATTCTGCAGCGTTTGTCCTTTCCTCAATTTCGAACCAATCTCACCTTTCATTGTAGCTTCTGCCACGTCAACTTTAGCTTGATTCGCTGCCTCCATTTGTGTCTTTTGCCCTAAATATGAGAAATATTCATGACCTGGAACATCAACCAATTGTTTAACATTTGCATTGTAAATCAGTAATCCAAATTGGTTAAGTTCAAGCTGAACTTTCTCGAACACTTCTTGTTTAAACTCTTTTGTTCCTCTGAAGACCTCTTCCATAGTCATCGAAGCAGCGAGAACACGAGTCTCGCCTTCGATGATTCCTTGAACGAGTTCTTTAACATGATTAGAGAGCTTATCATGTGGTGAAATCAGTTTGGCGTATTTGAGGAGGCTTTCACGATCATTGACACGAGGACCTATTGTGAAGACGGCAGGGAGGACGAAAGGGAGTTTCTCGGCGCTCATGGCTTGAACTTCGAAGGTGTAATTGACCGGAGAAAGGTCGAAGACGGTATAGGTTTGTCCGGGAAAAATCCATGCTTTTTTTGCAAGTTTGATGTCTTTGATTCCGACTCCCGTGATCACAAGGTACTCGGAAGCTTTTGCTACCTTATACATACTGTTGATTTTGTTCTGATTTTTGTAAACCCTAGAATAATAATAAGAAAAGTGAAACGAAACACTTGTGAAAATGTGAGTGTGTTATACTTCCTTATTACTATTATGGTTTATATCTATATATAGAGATAGTTTGTCAGTATTAGAATAATTAAACGCGTTAAAGGAAACTGCAGCGAAAGTGTTAATAGCTTGAATCGTAGTTTCTTTTGCCGGAAAAATAGCATGATATTATAATCGTCATAGTTACTAAGGGGCAAGACAGTTTAAGAACTTTTTGTTTTATTATCAATTTTATTTTTTATTTACTTATATAATATAAGGTGCTGCGTTGGTACAATGACAAGAACTATTTGTTTTATTTATTTTTTTAATTTTTAAATGTTCATATATTTTTTTATGTGAAAAAAAAGAAATTGACCATTAAAAGGTTGACGATGTTGCACTAAACTTGTTGAACAAGTTAACCATTAGATGTTTTTAGTGATTCAACATTGTTTTTGTTGGCATTACTTATGCCTTCTTTTTTTTAATTAATTATTCAAATGTATAAATTGAATTTGAGAACGTTCGAGAGAAATATCTACAAGTTGACATGCAAGACAAAGCGTTATTATGGTATCTATGCTTTGGTCATCTACATCATGCTGGTTTGAGAAGGTTGTCAAAAAGGAACGTGTTGTACGGACTATTAGACATGGATTATGAAGGAAAATTTTGTGAAAAATGTGTGCTCAGTAAACAAATAAAAATCTTATTTCAAAAGAAGGCAGAATATCAAGCTAAACATATTCTCGAATTGATTCATACCGACATATGTGGGCCAATCACTCCGGAATCTTTCAGAGGCAAAAGGTACTTCATTTCTTTTATCGACGATTTCTCACGAAAAATCTGGGTTTATTTCTTGAAAGAAAAATCTGAAGCATTAGAGGTGTTCAAAAAGTTCAAAGTAATGGTGGAGAAGGCAACCAACAGACATATTAAAGCAGTTTGATCTGACAGAGGTGGTGAGTACATTTCGACAGTCTTTATGAAGTATTGTGAAGAGCAGGGCATAAGGAGATTTCTAACTGCAACATATTCACCTCAGCAAAACGGTGTGGCTGAAAGAAAGAATTGAACAGCTCGCGACATGATTCGATCAATACTTAAGAGCAAGAACATATCGAAAGAGTTTTGGGCAGAAGTTGTATAATATGTTGTTTATGTTCAGAATCGATGTCCACATTCAAAATTAGAAGATCAAACACCACAAGAAGCATGGGTAGGACATAAGCCAATAGTTTCTCATCTCAAAGTATTTAGTAGTGTAGCTTATGCACATGTACCAGATCAATGAAGAACGAAACTTGAAGACAAAAGTCAAAAGTATATATTCATTGGGTATGATGAGAACACAAAAGGGTACAAGCTATTCAATCCCATAAGCAAGAAGGTGATCGTCAGTAGAGACGTTCGAATAAACGAAGTGAGCAAGTGGGACTAGAACAAATCAATAGAAGTTATCGACGAAGTCGAAGAATCATCTATCACTGTACTAACAAGCATTTCGACAGAACATGAAGATTCTGAAAATGAAGATGGACCTCTACAACCCAGAATGCGAAGTTTGCAAGATTTGTATGATTCGACAAATGAGGTACACCTTGCATGCCTTCTGGAAGATGCTAAAAACCTAAGTTCCGAAGAAGCACTACGAGACAAGAAGTGGGAAAATGCCATGGACGAAGAGATTAGAGCAATAGACCGCAACAACACCTGAGAGCTAGTCGAATTGCCAAAAGGCAGTCGACCCATTGGTGTAAAGTGGGTATTCAAGAAAAAGATGAACGCTCAAGGAGAAATAAAACGATACAAAGCGAGACTTGTTGCAAAGGGATACAAATAAAAAGCAGGAGTCGACTATGACGAAGTATTTACACCTGTTGCAAGAATGGAGACAATTTGATTGCTCATTTCTCAAGCTACTCAATACAAATGGTCGATATTTCAAATGGATGTCAAGATAACATTTTTGAATGGTGTACTGGAAGAAGAAGTCCATGTCAAACAACCACTCGGGTATATGAGGATTAGAGAAGAGAATAAGGTTTTGAAATTGAAGAAAGCACTATATGGGCTGAAGCAAGCACCGCGGGCATGGAACACATGTATCGACACATATTTCAAGGAAAATGGTTTCGAGCAATGTTCATATGAATATGCCCTCTATGTGAAGAAAAATGGAATTAATGTATTACTTTTTGCTCTCTATGTCGATGACCTTATTTTTCTAGGCAGTGATGATTAAATGACAGAAGAATTCAAGAGCACCATGACACGTGAATTTGAGATGGCAAACTTAGGTCTGATGAGATTCTTTCTTGGTCTGGAGGTTCGACAAGAAGAAAAAGGAATCTTTATCTCACAAGAAAAATATGCAAAAGAAATCTTAAAAAAATATAAGATGGAAAGTTGTAATCCAACTTCGACGCCAATGGAACCAGGTGCAAAATTTTCGAAATTTGATGGAGGAGTGAAATAATCGGCTGAAAATCATCAAATAATGAAGTCGCCATCAGACGTCTTTTATCCCACATGAAGGGAAAGGTAAACATCAAGAAAACATGAGAAGGGAAAAGTCACGGTCTTACGACTGAGAGATCGAGTAAGGGAGTCTGTTACGTGAGGGGAAGGTACTAGCACCCCACACGCCTGTAGTACTCTACAGTATCTACTCTTGTTATCTATCTTATGGGTGTGTTAAATATATGCTTACTGTTTACTACTGAGGAAGAATGCATTCAAAAAGAAAGGAGAAAATAATGTAGGGAAAATAAATTTGTGCTTGCTTGGGCCCTACCCCAATGCCTATGTATCCTTTTTGAGGAATCAGAGTTACCGTAGTTCGACTCACATGTTTTTGTTAGTTTGGTGCTTTTTATGAACAATGTTAATTCCGCCTTCTGCCACAGCTCGACATTTGGAGACTCACGCGTTGGCACATAAGTAAATTAATCATGTCCTTACTGAAATTGGTTTTGAGTTACACCCTCAAGGCAAGATGCCACATTTGATTGGTTTGTGTTTTGTTACCTTGAAAAAGAGTTTAAGTGTTAGTAAAGTGTTTTTGATTTTCCAAGAAAAAGAAAGTTTTAGTTTTAGATGCAAAGATGCAAAAATGGGAAGAAAATAGTCTACGGGAGACTAGCCTATTTTTAATCCTAGTGTTATCATGCAATGGTAGCCCTACATCAATGATGAAAGGGAAATCTCTACCTAATGTTAGCATGAATGGTTTGCAACCTAAGGTCTAACTTGCATCCAAAAGGAACAAGCACATCCTAAGGAAACATGGTATAGAAAGCGAGTAAATAAACAAGCTCGAAAGAGTACACACTTAAAATAGTAAAGAAAAGAAACAAAATGATTTATTCAAGGGGAGCTGTGATACGGTGGGAGAACTGACTTGAGTGTTTTGCGTTTCGATCGCATTTGTGCGGATAGCAAGATTCACCAATGACTTTTCTTTTATCCAAAAGGAAAGGTAAAAAAGCACAGGAAAGACCTTTCGGGATTATTTCTCGGGTTCGGGGGGTAGATTATGAAAAGGGAAGGTATTAGCACCCTTTTCATCCATGGTTTTCCATGGGCTCTTAGTTACTCGTTTAGATCACTTGCTTTCATTTGACAGTGTACTTATGGTGTGGGCTTTGAAAAAATCTCTTCGTAATGGTTCTCGTTTCTATAAGAACGCGTACAAAGTTTTGTTTTGAAAAGTGTTTCAAAGGTGTGTTTGTGGATTGTGTTTCGGAAAGTGTTTTGAAAAGATGTTTTGCAATGGTTCTCGTCTCTATAAGAGCGTATACAAATTTTTTGTCTTTTTGAAAATGTTTTGAAATGAAAGTGTAGGTGTAAAAATGTTTTTATCGTGAGCAATCGAGTAACTAGGAGCGAGTCTACCTACTCGAAAGGTCTTAAATTGTTCTTTTCTTCCTCCTTTTAATGTTGCTATCTTACCATTAATTTTGTAAGAAGCCCCCTCGTTGGATGTGAAGGGACAGGCGCGGGTCAATTTTACAGTCATCGAAGGCAACTTATGAGACGCTTTAGCAATTTTCGCAAGGGACGAGATCGTTTTATCAAAGGCAACATCGAGGGTCATCGAGGGACTACGATCTTTTTTTATCGAAGGGTCATTGCTAAGGCGTCCCATATTCGAGGGACATGACTGTATTTCCGAGGCAACGAGCGAGGTTACCCTAGAAGTGTGTGTGTGAAAAAGTGTGTTTGTTTCAAGTTATTTTGTTCTTTGGTTAGGTTATCTAGCGATTAATTTTTGAATCTTGCCATACACGCCTAATTATTATACAATATAAGGAAAACAGTAAATTGCGGGAATTGAAATTCTACGCTATTACAAAGTGTTCGGGAATGGGTGTACGATTTTTACAAATGGGGATGAGTCAAATGCGATTAAAAGGTCCAAATAGCAAACAATACAACCAAATCGAATTTTGAACGATTAATTAAAGCTACAATAATCTACGAAGTAAAATTAACCAACAAAATATGGAAATAAAATTTTAAGTATTTACCTGAAAGGAAGAAAGTAAAACCTATCCTAAAAATGAAATAATTGACTAAAAGAAATTAAATCGTATGTATTATTTTTTGTATTTTTACTTATTTAAATAAAAACTAAAGAAGAATAAAAATAAATTCTACTATTTTTTAGTGTTTTGCTATATGTAAAATAATTAATAACTTTATCTAAAAAAAAATTTATTTTAAAAAAAGAAGTTGATAAAAAATTAATCACAAAGTTTAGATCAATTAATTATGTATAAAAAAGAATGTATATTTTTTAAGATTAGCTGAATTATTTTATTAAAACTAAAATATAAATAAAAAATTAGAGAAAATAAGGTTGAAAGAATAAGCAAAAACAAAAATGCCCACAGGAGGAATCGAACTCAAGCTATTTGGGTTAATGAGGATGCACTTTGCCAATTGAA